CACAGCACTGCTGGGCCTCCGAGCCCGCCAGGGCAGAGCACGGAGGGGACCCAAGGACTGGGCACAGAGCCGGGGCAGGGCTGGGGCGGCAGAGGTGGGAGGGACAGGACAAGCAGCTGGGCACAAGGCCCCTGAGGGCCCACACTCGCCCTCCAACCTTGTGTGCTCTGTACCCAGGCGCTCAGCACCTCTGCCTCCTCCAGCAAACCTCATTTATTGTGCAACCTGAACAACTGTCCATGGCCACCATCCAGGACCCCAGAACACACCTTGTGCGTGGAGGCCAGGGACTGTGCACCCCCGGATCAGGAGTCTCCCCCAAGGTCCTCCTGCTCTGCCTGGCTGCACCCACTTCCTGCGCAGACTCCTGGGCCAGAGGAGCGGAGGTGGGGGCAGCACCATGAGGGCACCGCAGGTGCAGGCTGAGCCCTGTGTGCCCGGGACGGGGCGGGGTCTGCAGGAGGAGGGCAGCCCCTGGCTCCCCAGGGCCAGGTAGGGTGACACAGGAGTGGGCCCCAGGTCCGCTGGGGCTCGTGGTGGTCCAGTCTTCTCAGAACAATGCGGGGCCCTGCCAGGGACACTGCAGTGCAGGGCTGCGGACAGCGGGCTCTGCACGGAGCCTCGAGTCTCCTCAGAGAGAAACCAGCGTGAGAAGCAGGGAGATGCAGGCTTCCTTCCTCCACAGGAGCCCTCGCTCAGCCGGGCTACGGCTCCACATCCTGCCTGTCTCTCCACTTCACCAGAGCGTGGCCCACGGCCCTGCCAGCTGCCCCACAAGGCCTGCCTGGGCAGCTGGGCTGTGGCAGGTGAGCTGACTGCAGACGGGCACACGGGGGACCAGGTGGGACTGAACGGAAGCAGAGTGGCCATGCCGCTGTCCCTCCAAGGGAACTGAGGAGGACACGCAGCCCGTGGCAGAGGCTGTAGAGTCCTGGTCCCCCCACGGCCACCATCACCCCCGGGATCCCCCACGGGCGAGCGGAGCAGGAGGGTAGGGGCGACTCCCGCTCCTGCAGGTCCTGGAGTGGCTCTGATGGGCCGGTGAGCGCCCTCTGCTGGCTGCAGGAGCCCAGAGCCTCACACTCTGGGTTTCATTGGGCCAAGATGCTCCGAGGGGGGTCGGGGGCCCACGGCAGCCCCACCACGTGCCAAGCCCAAGGAGGCAGCAGGGTGGGTCTGGAGGTCACTGGACCTTGGCCCGTTTGGACCTGACCGCCTCAGCTCCCCCTGGGACCACAACCGTGCGGGGTCCCAGAGGGTGAAGCCCGCTTGGCCCCTTCCCACCCGCTCTGGCGCTGTCACACCCCCAGGTCTGCCTCCCTGGGCCCCAGAGGCTGGCCGCCCGCCAGGCCGGCAGCTCAGGAGGCCCTGGGGACCTTGAGATGGTCTGGAGAGCTTGTGTCCCCACTGGAGGCCCAGACAGTCCCGGGAGGCAGCCCCCCAAAACAGGCACTCAGGATGGCAAAGGAAGTGGGCATCCAGTTCTGGGGTGCTCCCTGCGGCTGTGATGGCACTGACCGGGTCAGCCTTGTGCACACCCTGGTGGCCCACCTGCCATGCCAACTCCTGGCCAAGATGCCCAGGGGAGTGGTAGGTGACACAGGCCACCGAGGCCACATGGTGGAGCGGCCCACAGATGAGCGACAGGGGCTGGGGCACGGGAGGCACCTGGTGAGAGGCATGGCTGTCCCCAGAGCCCCTGCGCTGTCACTGGTGGGGGCTATCACAGGCTCTGTGAGACAAGAGGGCCCAGGGCCACCAGGCAGCAGGGGACACAGGGCTCCTCCATGACTGACAAGCCAGCTATGTGGAAGCTCTGTCCTGGGCCAGGCAGAGCCAAGCCTGATGGACAAGTGGGTCCTGGGCCCAGGCACTGGACAGGAGTGAGCAGCACCCCGGGCACTTGGGGGGACAGCACCGCAGGCTCTGAGCCCATCACAGCCCAGCAGCACCACAGCCTCCCTTCCCCCCCAGCCAGCTTCCCCACCCACTGCACCCACCCCCAAGTCCCCGCCAGAAAAACAGCTGTCGAGGCAGCTTTGGGCAGCCGGCTTGGTTACGGCTTATGTATGGCCCCCCGGACAGCCAGCTCATGGGCACCGACTTTATAAATAAAATTTATCTTTGTAATTACGGCTCCCATGGAGAGCCCGGGACGTTTACAGCCTCTTGGAAGTCATGAATAATTTAGGGGAAGGGAAATGGGCACCAGTGTTAGTGTCCGCGGGCCCAGGGGCTCCCATTATCTCAGTTGCTGGCGGAGGCAGGGCTGGCGTCCTGAGCGCCCCACTGGAGGGGACCAGCAGCCTCCGACATGAAGCCCCTGCCAGGGCAGGGCAGTGCCCATGTCCTCACTGTCCCAGTGAGGGCTCTGGCTGGGGATGGGGCAACCAGACAGCCCTCGAGGCCAAGGTCCTGCTTCAGGCCGACCACACTCCCCCAGTGGTGTGGGGCACCCCGTACCTGCAGTCAGCGGTTCTTCCCACAGGCCGCTCCTGCCCCCCAAAAGCAACAGGTGCCTGTGGACCCCGGCCTGGCTCCTACTCCTGTCTTGGGGTCACATATCAGCCATCGCAGACCCCAGCCTAAGCGACGCCCCCTGCACCCCTAATGCACTCTTGGGCCACACACTCCAGTGCAAGCCCCAAGCCCCTGCAGTACAGCCCTGGCTTCCAGGAAGTGTGTCCCGGGGCTGCACCCCAGAGCAGGGACCCCCCGCCCAGACCACTGTACACACCCAGCCTCAGACCCCACACCCACCAGCCCCAAGTGGACAGAGCCGCTTCGGCCTCCTGGAGCTGTGGGCCATGGTGGAGGCCGTGGTGCAGTGCAGTCACTGCAGGACCACAGGGCAGAGGCCAGGGTCACTCAGGGCCACTGGCCCACCAGGCACAGCACCAGTGCAAACCCGGGCTCCCTGAGCTGGGCAGCACCCCCGTACCAGGTAGGGGACCTCAGCACCTGCAGAGCCAGCTCCCAGCCCAGGCCCCCCACTCGGGGACCCAGACCCTCTGAGGACCCGCTGGCCCAGGGCCCTCCTCATACCCAGGCGGTGCCCCTTGGGAGCTGGGTGTGGAGGGCACAGTCAGTGCAGACCTCCTGAGGACCTAAGCCGATCCAGTGCTGCCAGGTCCCCTCCAGGGACAGCAGGCCTCAGGCAGCCCTGGTGGGCCTGGAGCTGGCTGCTCCCTCCCGCCAGCCCCCAGAGGGGACAGAGGGGGAGGACTCCACTCTGGTCCTCGAGGCCGGATCAGGGATGAGCTGGGCAGTGGCTCTCATGACCCCTAAATGCTGCTCTTCCCCGACACCGTCCAATCCCCAGCCCACCGCCGTGGGTCCCCATGGTGGGTCAGCACACCACAGCCAGCCGCCTGTCCCCATAACACTGGGTTGGAAAACAGCGTGTACCTCATACCTCTTTTCCTGTTGTCCCCAAGGGCAGAGCAGTCCACTCCCCTGTGTGGACAGGGAAATTCGATGCCCTGCCTGGCATGGCGACCGAGCCAGTGAAGTGGGAGTCCAACATTCCCCCAATGGCCCTGGGTTCAGGGCACCCCATGGGTTTGGACCACACACAGCCCCTGCTGGCCCTGGGCCCCCCATGCCCAGAACACTCAGCCAGGCTCCCAACAAAGGTTCCCCCACTCCTAATGGAGCCACATGGGTCCCCGACACACCTCGGGCCACACTGCTCATGGACCCCATGCCACGGCCACCCCACGGCCTCTCAGATCCGACTCCTCCTCCAAGCTGCCATGTGTCCCACAGGGCCCTGAGCCTGAGCCTGAGCCTGCCCGCCATCACCTGCCATGTGGCTTGCGACAGACGCCTCACCTCTCTGAGCCACTTTTACCTCGTCTGAAAAGGAGGAGCAAACTCAATACTGGCCAAGCAGGTGCAACAGAGCCTAGAGTGCTACTGGGGCTCAGCCAGGCCAAAGGGCAGGACCCCATAGGGAAGACAGGGGCCGATTGAGGGGCTACCCTCCCTCCACAGCACCCCACACTGCCCACACCCACCCCTCTGCCCCAGATTCCAGCCACAGGATTTCAAGAGCTGCAGGGCTCTGCTGTTGGCCTGGGAGGGCACGTGGGGCCAGGGCGGGGACAGTGGCCCTGACCTCCGGCCTGGTCAGCAGGCCTGGCCTGATGTCCCCCGGGGCCTGGGAAACAGCCACCTCACATCCGGCCAGCAGAGTCCGTTAAGGCTGCTGGTATTTCTGCCAGAGGGGAGCCCAGGCCCAGGGCTCGCTAGCTGGACAGGCTCTGATGCTTAGAGGGCCAGGCTCAGGCCTCAGACAAGCCCACCAGGTCAGAGCCTGGGAGGGGCCTGGTCACCTTGCGGCCTGCAGCTTGCCTCCTTGGGGGTAGAGGCAGGTGGGGACTGGGGTGAGCCGTGTCCCTGCACCCCAGGACTAAGAGCTGACCGCTTCCTGTCTGTGTGCACCCGGGAGAGCCAGGAGGAGGAGGCAGACGCTGACTTCCTGAAGGGATTAGGGGCTTCCCAGTGAAGGGCATGGAAGGAACCTGGGGGCAGGCGGAGGCCACAACAGAGCCTGAGCAGCAGTCACTCTGGGTGCCCTGGACTCTCCAGATTGGCCACCCTTCCTGTCTGCCCAGGACTGGGGTGTCCTAGGTGGGGCCACTCCAGGCAAACTGGGCAGCTGGAGAACCCACAGCCTCTGGCCCCCTCAACCTGTCTCCTTGTCAGTGGGGCTGGCAAAGCACTCGGGACACGCTGGCCCTGGCGCTCCAGGCCTCCCAGGCAGCCGGCCCGACCCAGTCCCGCCAAGGCTATCTCTGGGGAGGCCAGGAGGGGGGCAACAGGCACAGCGGAGAGAGGGCCTGGGAGCCACTGGCCAGTGCCTGCTTCCTGTTCCCTGGCCTGGGCCAGCGGGCGCTGAGGCGAGGCCAGAGGGCACTCAGCCCGCCTACGGAATGGCCCGGAGTGTTGCCTCTTGCTCAAGTGGGAAATGCACATTTATCTGGGGAGCTGCCAGCAGCAGGCCAGCACAGCGGCAGCCCTTCCCAGAGCCCTGGCCCTCCCGCCCCGCCTCTGTCCTGCAGAGGGGAGGCCAGCCCAGGAGCCCCCAGCCGTCCATTTCCTCTCTAGCAGGACAAGGCACAGCTGGGCTCTACAGCCTCAGCCTGTGCCAGGCTGGGTACCTCACCTCCCAGCCAGTGACACTTCCCTGCCCTCCGCTGTCCCAAAGGCAGCAAGAACCGGCCCAGCTGCTGTAATGGAAACTTCCTGGCCAGTCTGTGAGCTTCGACAGCTCGGGTTCCACCCCGCGTGAGGCTCCGGTCTTCAGCTAGCTCTTCAGGTGGCTGGGCCGTCCCGCAACGCAGGAGCCAGGTGGGCCGTGTGTGCTCATTTGTGCGTGCGTGTGTGTGTGTGTGTGTGTGTGTGTGTGTGTACGCGTATTTGCATATGTCCCCTCCAGCCCCACAGGACAACACTGGAGCCGGCCACCACACACCAGGTCAGCAGGGTTGGGGGTCTGGGGCAGCACAGGTGTGGGGGGAGCAGGCACACTGCCCTGCAGCTGCCCTGGCCAGGGGTCAGAGCAAGCAGAGGAAGGGCTGCCCTCACAGGCAGGCAGGGCCCTACGGTCACCCACACACCAGCTGCTGCAAGGAGGTCCTGCCTGCCACAGGCATTGGGTGGCAGGGCAGGTACAAGCGTGGTACGGACGCCAGGGCAGAGACAGGGCAGCCGGGGGGAGTGGTGGGGGCACCAGCCAACCCCAGGGTCTCCCGGATGTGCTGGCCAAGGTCTTGGAAGCACACAGGACCCCTGGTCCCTCCAGCCTGGCTCCCCGGCCTGCTCCTGGACTAGGGCCCCGTCTCACTGTCCATCTGAGCCCAGGAAGGTGGCAGACCCAGGACCCTCCTGCCCAGCCCCAGGGGACATGCAGTGGCCCTCACTGGTGCAGGCGTGGACAGTGGGGCCTCTGGGACCCAGGGAGAGGGACAGGGCGGCCTCCTCAGGCCGGCCTGGCTTACAGTGACGCTCCACAGGCTCCTGGAACTATTTTCCGCCCTTTATCGCCCATCTGTCACGAGCTGGCTACAGAGCAAGTGCATTGAGTTACACCCTGTCCCTGCTGCAGAGGCCCTGCTCCAGGGCGGGCGGGAGGTGGCACCCGGCAATGTCTCCTGCTTCTGCCGCCAGTGTCATGGTGGGGAGCACGAGCTCCAGGAAGGTCATTCTTCCACTTGGCCAAGGTCACAGAGGCCAGACCGAGCCAGCCCTGGGGACTCCAAGGCCCCCACTTCCTCCCTGAGAAGGGCCTGCTGGGCCTAACAGAGAAGCCCAGGCATTTGCAGAGCTCCAGGGCGGGAGAGGGACCCACAATGTCCTCCCTGCCCAGCCCTGCACCAGAGCGAAATACAGCCACCCCAAGTGGCAGCCACAGGGCGGTGGTGTTACCACCGGCCCCAATCCCAGTACGGCCCGGACACTGGCCAGCTCGTCCTCACAGGTCCAGGACGGGGCTGCACTGCTCTGGAGGGGTGGCTGAGAAGGCTGAAGCCACCCATGTGCCCAGGGCCTGCAACTTCATCACCACACGTGTTCACGCACACAGCGGACACATACACATATGCGCACCTGTGTCCCTGCAACTACCACCCAGGTACACACACACATGCACACAGTCACCTCAGGTACATGCGCACACACACACACACAGATACCTGGCCCTTGCACACCCACTCCCACCTGCACAGCCTCTCCGGCCCCGCCCAGAGCACTGCAGATTCCCCACCTGCCCTAGCTGCCGGCCGTTCCTTCCGGACCCTCTTTGCAACAAAACCTAATGCTCGGCAGTGGCAACAGAAGTCACTCCTTCTGCAGTAACTGAACCCATGCCAGCGATGCCACTCAGACACTGCTACAGCTCTCAGCTGGCCCCATGTTTGTGCCTCTGAGGGCTCCCGGGGGCCCTGTTATCCCAGGCCAGGGGTGCAGGGACCCTGTGGTCACCCCCAGACAGCTTCTCTTGGGGGAACCTGAGGGCACCGTGCTTGGGGACAGTGGAAACCCCCACTCCCTGCCTCTCAGCCTAGTGTCTGTGCTGGCTAGGGCTTCTCATACGCGGGGGCAGCAGTTCCCACCAAGGACCCCGGACAGGAACCTGGGGAGCCCGGCAGGCAGGGGGCCAGAGGACATCCTGAGGAACACCCTGCCCACTCTGGCCTCAATGTGCCCTATGCAATGAGGGGCATGGGATGAGCAGCCTGGGCCCTCGAAGGGCTGATGCCTGGGGCCTGGCTCCACCTGCACAGGTGCCCCTGGATCCACACCAGGCCAAGACTGGAGGACTCGGGGTCCAGGGCCTGCCAGGCGTGTGGAAGAAAGCCCCAGGTAGAGGGGTCGCATGTGTGGGCCAGGGACGAGGGCATGGGAGGACATGGGGCACCCGTGCACCCTGAGAGCCACAGGACACGGAGAGCATGGAAGCAGCAGCAGAGGGAGGAAGAGGCAGAGAAGGACAGAGAGCCCTCAGAGGACAGAGCAAGGGTGGAGGACAGTTTGGGTGGAGCTGAGGGGACCTCAGGGCATGGGCAGCAAGGTGGCAGGAGCCCCCAGAGGGCCTTTTCTGGGATCTGCCTGGCCCTGACAATGGGAGACCCCATTCTATACCCTGGCCCCCTTGAAGAGCCATCACCCGTGAGATGTCCACTGAAACCTGATCCATGACCTCAAAAAGTGGCAAATGACAATAATGAACCCCAAATGTCCAAGTACCCGGAGTGGAGGGTGGCTGTGAACCAGGGGCAGCAGCCCACAGGAGCACTGTGAAGCCCGGAAAGGTGGCAATTTGCAGCCTCTGGCAGCAGAGGCAGCTGCTCAGGCAGAGGCTCAAGTGAACAGGGAGCCCACGTCCAGCAGCAGGGTCCACTCACTGGCCCACCTGACCGTGCCCCTCCAGTGTCTGTGGAACAGCAACGTCTCTCTTGCCTCAGGACCATGCTCCAGTAAATGAGGACCACCACTCGAGCATTGTGCCCCGACTCCCACCCAGAAAGCCCGTGTCGGACCAGAGAGGATGTGGAGGCCACCAGGGGCTCAGTGCGGCCCCAGGCCCCGGCCGTAAGGCTTCCGAGGCAGTGGCTGTGTGGGCTCCGAGGTGGACAGGCGAGGACAAAAGGATCCTGGGCCCCACCCTGCAGCTAAGGCCATGGAACTGGAAGAGACAGGGCCAGAGTGTGCGGGGCTGAGTGTGCGGGGCTGAGTGTGCGGGGCTGAGTGTGCGGGGCCAGGCGGGGAGCAGCACTGACGAGAGGGAGGGCTGGGCGCAAGCAGGGGCGGAGACTGCGGGCTCAGCTGTCACACAGGAGGGCCGGACCCCAGGCGGAGCTGTGGGCTCCCCGGGGACGGTGCCGAGCACCCAGCGCTGGAGGCCTTGGAGCAGCTGCATCTGTGTCACAGATGAGGGCTCCGGGGGCCATCTTCCAAACCAGGCTGTGCTGACCAGGGCAGCTCCAGGGCCAGCTGGGCATGGCCAGGAGGAGGAGGCCAGCTCCTCGGGGGGCCCCAGCAGCCCACCAAGGCCTCCAGCCACCCTGTCCCTGCGCTGGCCCACCCCACCAAGCTGGACCCCACCCCACAATCCCCCATGTCTCAAGGTCCCCCGGACCCTCTGGGGACCAAACAGCAGCCTGACACCCCAAACTGCCCAGGCCTGGCACTCACCTGGGAGGTGGGGCGCCCTCGCTGGGATGCTGAGGTTGGGTCGGGGCTGCCAGCTCCCCTCACCCTGCCCCGCTGCCACAGTGGCCAAGTCCTGAGCCCTTCCCTGGGCCTGGTCACCACCATGAGTCTGTGTGTGTCCAGGCTGAGGACTGGTCCGAGGGCCCCGCCAGCTGTGAAGGGTTGCTGTTCTCATCTCTGAGCCCTGGGACTGCTGGGGGCCAGAGCAGGAGCTGCAGCCTGGCCCTGGGTCACTGACCTTGCCCACTTGACTTCTGACCCCACCAGCATAGAGCAGCTGGCACCAGGGCCACGGCCAGGGTGTCAGCCCAGGGTCTCTACACACCTCTAGGGTCCTGTGCAGCAGTTCCCTCTGCACAAAGCCCAGAGGTGGCAGTGGGCACAGGGGTCGGGGCAGCCGGTGTCCAGCAGGAGGGGCTCACAGCCTCCCTGCCCCTCTGTCCCCAGGAGGGAGGCCGGAGGCGCCCCCCATCCATCCTGAGACGGAGCTGGCTGGAGCTCGTGCCCCGCGAGGCTGAGCCACCGAGGACCTTGAGACATGTGCGGTTCCGGGAGCCCGTGGAGGAGGCTGTGCACTGTAAGGGGGTGTGCCAGCAAGCGAGGGGCTGGCGGCAAGGACCTGGGTGGGCTGAGGGGAACCCCAGTAACACCCTCAGGGTCATCGGGACTTACGGCAGGGGATGGGTCGTCTCTTGCTGCTGTCGATGGTGAGGGTCGCGGGGCTGCGCTGGCCACTGCTCCTAGGGACAGGGTGGGAGCGTCGGGGCACCCGCAGACTGGGCCTCGCGGTCTCCTTCACAGACATCGCCTGCAGGGAGCCCGCAGCTGCAGTCGGGGGTGAGTCCTGACCCCAGCCACGAGTGGCTTCTTTCCCTGTCTCACCGCCCCTCACCGGCCCCTCGGCGCCCCTCTGACTGTCCAGCAGGCCACCCCTCAGCCACTGTCCCTTGCACACAGGTGGGCCGCAGCGCCCTGGGCCCCGGAGAAGCTCCCCGCTCCTCTGGCTGACTCTGTGCATCCTGCTTGGGGTGGCGCTGGGCCTGTACCACGGCTGGGCCGAGCCCATGGCCGGGGCCCTGGAGGACCTTCGGGCCCAGCTCCGGGTCCTCGCCCTGCGCCTCTGGCATGTGGCCCTCAGCAGCTGGCACTGCCTCCTGCGGCTCTGACCACGGCGCCCGGCAGTGTCACCACCGGAGCCCTGCTGGGTGAGGCTTCGGGGAGCTGAGCGGAGACTGCTGCAGGGCTGCGGCAGGGCCGGGAGGGGGCACCCCTGCCTGAGGCCAGACATGGGGCGACACAGCAGGCGCCCTGCTCCGCTGCCTGCCTGCCAGGGGAGGCTACCCGAGACAGGGCTGGCAGCTGCCACCCCCAGCCTTGCCCACCTCCGCCTGGCGGGAACTGGTGTCACCAAGGGCGCCTGGCATCTGCAGGACCAAGAGGGCAGGAGGCACCTCTGCTGCCCAGGGCTGCTCAGTGCCACCGGCACTCAGGAGAGAAGGGCCCGCGTGTGCCCACCACCCTCGGAGTCCAGCACGGCACCACCCTCCTGGCCAGGTCTGCACGGGGAGGCAGACGGCGCTGGGGTCAGGCACCAGGAGGGACCGCAGGGCACACTGTGCCCACATGGGCTGATGACCAGACGAGTGCCCGGGGCAGGCCTGAGGCTTGAGGCCCTGGGTGGCCCCTGACCCTCAGCGTCAGTCCCCCACTGAGTCGGGAGAAGCTCCCGTGCCTCCCTCTGGGCTGGGACTCCGGGGAAATGCAGCGAGCAGCCTGGCTGGAAAACCCTCCCTGGCCAGAGCCCCTGCCGGGCACCAGGGGCTCCCCTCCCTACCTCCATCCCCTCAGCTCCCCTTCAGGGCACCTTGGGGACCCCTGAGGCCCTGGGCCATGTCCCCCACCAAGGCCCACAGCCCCTCACTCTGCTCTGGGTCCGGCCGCCCTCCCAGGCCTCGGGGAGCCCAGGCAGTGGCCCCAGGGTCTCCTCCAGACCCAGAATTCAGGGACCTCAGGGTGGAGGACCCCAGGGAGAGGGCTCATTTCCAGCAGTGGCCTGGAGAGGACCATGGGAGGGGACGGGCACCTCCAGCACCAGCCGTCACCCCAGGATTCACCTCACTGCACCCCGGCCAGGGGCAGGTCAGCCGTTGATGCCCCGTACTCTAGAGGCTTGGAGAGGGGAGCCTCAGCCCTCTCTGGGCCTGGGGGTGCAGCCCCATCCCCCTCCGAGAGGGTCTCCTTGTGCTCTGCAGGGTCCACACATCCACATCCAGCCATCTAAGCTGCCTGGAGACACAGCCCCCGAGAAACCCAATCAAGCCTCACCCTGGGGGTCACGTGGGGAGCAGAGACCCAAGCCCCAAAAAATGCAGACACAAAGCTGCAGCCACATGGAAGACTACTCCTAATAAGCTCTGGAGAAAGGACAGAGCCAGGAAGCAGCGGTTTACACCCTAAACGAGAAGCCGAGCAGGTGGGAGCAGAAGGGAGGCGGGGAGGCACAGAACAAACCCTGCACCCCGGAGACACTTGAGCGTGTAGCTTTATTTTGACTTGGAGAAATAGATACATGGAAACTTGAGAGTCTTCACTTCCACCTCAGCCGGAAGTAGAGCTAAAACAAGGTGTCCTTGCTAAAAGCCAGAGAAGCCAAGGTGTCCTGGAAGCACTACGGTGCAGCCGCTGGGGGGACCCGGGCAGCCCGGCCCTCCCGCCTGGGGAGAGGCTGGCCCAGGATGGACCCTGCCTGCAGGCCTCCACCTGCCTGGATGCAGGCCGCCCCAGCCAGCCCCAGGGCCCAAGGGCAGCTGCCCAGGGCAGGGAAGGCTGGGGAAGTGGCAGTTCCATGGGCCCAGGAAACCGCAGCCCACTCCTGCTCCTTCTGGGGCCCCAGATGGCTGCAGCAGAAATGGGGGACTGGGCCAAGGCGAGGCAGAAGCCACAACACCATGTGGGGGACAGATGAGCAGCTCTGGGGGCAGGAAAGGGCTCCCACATCCAGCGATTAGGGCCCAGGCCTACGTCAGCTTTGGGGGCCTCAGACTCTCTCCAAACACCATCCCAGAGTACCTGGCGCCCCGAAGGAAACCCTCAGCTGGGCTTCAGGCCTTCACCCCCATCCCCTGGCCAGGACCCCCAGGACAGCCCCTGCCTGCCCAGCACCCTGACAAGCTGGCCCAGCCTACCACCCAGCCCCTTGAGGTGGCCCAGGTCCACACCAGAGCCCCAGCCGGGAGCACACTCAGGGAACACACTTCTGAGGGGCTCCGTTAGGGTTAGGGTTGGACCCCGGGACAGGATGGGGGACCCCCCCCCGCAAGAGGAGGTGGTGCTGAGGACAGCAGAGGCAAGTCCCAGTCACACCAGGCTCTGCCACCGCTGGGTGGGTAGGTGGGAGTCCCTCCCCTGCAGGAGCCCTGGCCCAGGCTGGGGTGGGAAGGCAGTGCCCTCCTTCTGTGGGCCACGGGCACCCCATCTCTGTGGTCTGCTCCCACACATCCCATCCACACACATGTGCACACACACGTATGCTTATACTGCAGCGTTCACACACACAGCCTCAGGGAGGCAGAACAGATGCCCCAACTGCCTGCTGCTGGGCCCGGGCAGGAATCGCTCTCACCCCACCGCAGGCAGGGCTAGGGTTGCATGCAGGGCTGGGTGGCCCAGACAGGGCCTGTGGGCAGGGCCGGGCCTCAGGAAGCAGGGCCTAGATGACAGCACTGTTCTCCCCCTGGAGGGAGGTGCGGGGCCCTGGCCTGGCCAGCAGCAGCTCCTTCTCGTGGACCAGGCTGTCCAGCAGGTCCTCCTGGCGGTAGTTGTGGTAGACCTTCAGGAAGGCCAGCGTGGTGATGGCCAGCCACGCCAGCCACGAGGCCCAGAGGCCGAACTGTGAGGAGGCAGCAGCGTCAGTTCAGCGCCAGCACCCTGTGTTCACCCGACCAGCCCTGGCCCTGGCGAGGGCAAGGGCAGGAGGCCCACGTGCCCACGTTCCTTCCCCTGCAGGACAGTCACCTTGGGTCCCGGGGGAGCCTACGTCTGTGCAGAGGCCGGGGACCAGGCCGCCCTGGCCCCAGCCCAGCTGATGCTGTCCCTGGCGGGAGACAGTGGCTGGGTAACGTCCAACCTCCCAGCCTGGGCCCCTCAGCTCCAAGGGGGCCTGTGAATCCCAGCCCTCCAGCTGCCGGAAGAGATTGACCTTTAGCTGCTGTTTCCAAACAGCGGGAGGAGCAACAGTCTAATCAGCCCAAGCCTGCACCACATCAAACCGATTCCTGCTGGAGCGTGTTTGTTGTCCACGCGCCATCTAACTGGCAGTCAGGTCCAAAGCATCTTCCACTACATTTGCAGGAAGGACTCTGACCACCGCAGCTCATCTCAGCAAAGAACCCCAGGTCCCTGTGTCCAGACCCCGAGGGGCCCCTGGCCATTGTGTGGTCCTCAGGCCAGCTGCGGGCTAACAAGAGGGTTGGGCTAGACCCAGAGGCTAAGCCCTCCAGGAGCCACCCCAACTCCGCCCTGCGGAGGCCCCTGCCCACACCGGCTTTCAGGCCCCCTGGGCGAGCCCCTCCCCACACTCTGGCTGCCTTCCTGCTCAGGCAGTTTGTCTCCTGGCGACCCCACCTAACCCTGAACCCCCTGCCTGGGGCCCTGGGCCCAGCCCTGCCCACCGCCACCTGCCCCAACCCGTGGGAGTCAGCAGTGCTCACGCAGGCCCTGTGCTCCCACCTGGGCAATGGCGAACTGGTCATAGAAGGCAGAGTTGTCCACATTCAGCTCCAGATCAATGTCTTGCAGCTCTTCACAGCTGAAACGCAAGATGAGGGGTGGTGCCCGTTGGCCAAAGAGGGTGGGGGAGCCTGTCAGGGGGTGGCCTCAAGCCCTGTCCAAGCACAGGCTCAGGGGAGGGGACCAGATGGCCAGAGGATGTGCTGCAGCCTCAGCTCAGGGTCCCAGGTCCCGGCACACTGTCCTGCACTGCCTCTGAGGAAGGTGGGGAGGCTGGCCCACAGGCCCCACGCTGCCCGAGGGGTACCCTGGGGACACCGTCAGGCAGCTCTGCTCGACATGGGCAAGTCACAGTCTGCCCCCAGGTGGCAGCCAGAGCTGACAAACGGCGAAGTCTACGTGAAGCTCCGACTCTCCCTACCTTAGGGTGGGCTGGGCAGCATCCCCGCTAGGACCGCAGGAAGGGCTGGAGGGCTGCGAGGGTGAGGGCACCTGCGTGAACCCCGCAGGCTGCCCATGCTGAGGGACCCGCCGTGGGCTCAGGCACCGTAAAGGTGGGGCCCCAGCAGGGGCCGCAAGGGCTCCTGCCACCTCACCAGTGCCCCAGGCCCAGCGTCAGCCACAGCACGGTTGAGGCGTCCCCAGCCCCACTCTGCTGTCCCTGACTTCAGATGTTGGGGTCCAATCTGACACCCACCCTGGGCTTCTGCCTCCCACGGGCAGCACAAGGGTGGACCCCAGGATCTCAGGCCACCTGGAGCCTGCCAGGACCTGCCATTGCCCTGTCTGGGATCCTGTCCTCCAGCCCCCAACGGCAATGAGGGGGCAAAGGGCACTGCTGAACCCCCAAGCCCCTCACCCACCCACAGCTGAGGCCCTGGCTCCTGGGGGCCTCTGAGTGTGATGCTGCAGGCTCCAGAGCAAGGAGGAGACACCCGACACTGGGGTGGGGTCAGGGCAGGAGCTGACCAGGTGGGCAGTGGTAGGGGCCAGGTGGGCCCGGGTGGGGAGCAGGTGGGCACAAGTGGGATGAAGCCGCGGGCTCTGCACGCTGCATGAGGGGTCTGCCTGTGGGGGACGGGGTGCAGGGAGGGAGCACAGCACACCTGCGGGGCACGGTGCCCTTCTCGGTGATGGCATCGCACCACATGGTGAAGCCCACGCTCACAATGGTGCTGGCGATGAAGACCAGGAAGACCACGAAGGCGCTCACCAGGAGGTTGAGGAAGGCATAGAAGAAGGAGCTGCAGGCGGGGCAGAGAGAGGAATGCTGGGCATCCGCGGCCCCACCGAGCAACAACCCCCAGTGTGGAGGGCCCCGGCCCAGGCTCCCTGCTGTACCTGGGCTCCACAACGCCCCATGCCAACCTGAGCTGCCCATCTCGTCTGCCCAAAGACTGCACTTGAGACCACATCACCACCCCTGTCCAGGGAGGAGGGGCCAAACGGGGCCCCAGATTCCCCCATTCCAAGGCACGAGAGCCACACGCACCCTGGAAGTGCGAGGTACCCATGCAAGGCCACCCAGCCCCGGGCGTGACCCAGGCCGTCCACCCCTAGGGCCACTGTCCAGGGGGATGGACCCACGCAGTCACCCGAGGCTGTAGGGTGCATTCCGTGTCTCCCAAGTTCACATGTGGAAACCGTAACCCCAAGGTGAGGCACTAGGAGGAGGGGCCAGGTGGTGAGGTGGAGCCCCACAATGGGATCGGTGTCCTTACAACACGGGAGGACACTGCCAGAAGACCCTCCCCACTCCCGCCCAGCATAGGCTGGCGTCACACCAGTGCCACCAGCAGAGGATCTGGCCAACGCCTGGGGCTAAACCGGCTTCAGGCGCGTGGCATCTCGCCCAGAGAAACCACAGTCCCTGTCCCCGACTGCGATGCCAGGAGCCAGGTGCAGAGCCTGAGCACTGCTGGCTCATCTGCTACTCAGGCGCTGGACAAGGCCCCTCCGCCCATCCACAGGCCCCTGCCAGACCCAGGAGTGTGCGGTCCTGCCCCAGGAGGCCGACCCAGCCCAGCCCAGCCGTGCCAAGTTGAGCGGGGTCGCTAGGCTGGCTCAGGTGGAACCACCTTCCACAGGGGCCGCCCTGGACAGGCCATATGGCTGAGCGACTGCTGGGCAGGTATCAGAGCCCCAAGGGACTCAGGTCTCACGCATGCAGAGATGGCAGAGCCTGGATCTCAGTCCTGAGGGATCAGGGGCCCTGCAGAGCCCACCTTTCCCCACAGGGCCACGGCCCATGGCCTCTGGAGGCCAGCAGCAGCTGTAGAGCTGTCCCATGCCTCCAATGGCCCGGCACGGCTGTGTGTGCGGTGGACACTGTCTCCACCGGACTCCTGCTCATCTCATGCATGCCCTGTCCGCCGGCCCCCGCTGCTGGCTCTCCTCCTTGGAGCTCTTCCCTGCCTGCCTGCGGACTGTCCCGCATGTGTGGCAGTGACCCCTGGAGGCCTGGTCCCCAGCAGGGGCCTCCAGCAGAGCCTGGGGCTAATGCCCACCACTCCCCAGTCTCTCCCAGTCGGACCCTCCATTTGCCCTCACCTGGGTGGACATTTCCTGCCCTCGGGACCCTGAGGACCGATCCTGGGCCACACTGAGGAGACTCATGCAGGTACCGGATGGTGCATGGTCCCCAGCCCTTCACTCCTGCCCTGCCCAGGCTGTCCCAGGTCGGACCTCCCCCTGTGAATGCCCTGCTGCCCACCACCCCGTGGGCCCCCTGGAGCTCTGTCCAGGGCTGAGGCCGGTGTTCCCAGCAGGAACATGGAGTGCAGGAAGTGGGGTCACCTGTGGGAACCAAACACCTACAGCTAGTGGCTCGGCAAGCTTGAGAGGGGCGAGGCACAGCCCACCCGCGCCCTCCCGTGGGCAGTGTGTCGGGGTACAGCAGGGCGGACACTGGGCCGCAACTGGACAGCGTGTGTGGTGGGGCAGCCGGGTCAGAGCCTCCCTGGGCAGGGGCAAGAAGGCTGCCCAGAGCAGGACATGCAGCTCTCCAGACAGCAGCGGAGGGGGCACCCAGGACAGCTCCTCCCAGGGCACACCCATCTGTCCACCTGTTGGACAGAGCCTGCCTCCCTGGGGCACCACCCAGCAGCAGCACCCTTGGGTGCCTGGCAGGTCACCCCAGCTGCCACCCCAGGCTGCCTTGGGAGGGCTGGGCTGGCCACTATGCAGAGCAAGGCCACGTCCGGCCCACTCCAGCAGGGGCGCGGCGGCTAGAATCCCAGATGGGCCCCCACCCTCCACGGAACTGACTCCCTGTGTGGCATGGGTCTCCCCAACAGCCCCTGTCCCCGCCAATTCCCGGCACAGTGCGGGACAGGAGAGCTGCAGGCCGGCTGCCCTTCCCGCCTCAGAGCGAGCGTGAGCTGGACAAGCAGGAAATGGGGTCTCTGCCGACCCGACCTTCCAGCAGCACCTCTGCTACATGGGCAGCACTTCCGCCTCCCCGGCCCAAGCAAGCAGCCCCTGTGAGGTGGGACGGCCCCGAGCGGGGCTGCTGCTGGCCGACGGCCTCCCTGCACCCTTCTCTCCCCACTCTGGTCGGCCCCCATGGAACCTGCCCAGCCTTCCAGGGTTTCAAAGACCTGCAGGTGTCCAGAGCCCCGCCTGGGTCGCAATGCCACCCTTCCCCACCCCCAACACAGGAAAGACAGGACAGGACAGCAGGCAGGAGCCAAGACGGCGGCACGCACAGGGTTAACCGTCTTCCTCCCGCTGCTCTCAGGGTGCCCAGACTGGGATGTGCCGTCGCCATGGTGATAGCTATCCTAGGGAGCCAGGAGCAATCGGGAGGCTAAGCAGCAGGTGCGGTGCGGGCAGGCAGACGGGTCATTTTAACCAGCACTCCCCAGCCCTTCAACCCTCAGGCATAGTGCTGCCCAGACCAGCTCAAAAGGCTCCTCTTGGGCAGAGCTGCATGCCCAGGCCCTCTGCACTCTCTGGGGTCACCACCTAGTCCTCGGAAAGCAGAGCCCGTGCTAACCCAACCACATCGGCCCTCACTCCCAGGGACGACGGGGGCCGTGGTCACCTCACAGACTCACTAGGCAGGCCTGTCCCGGCCCTGGGCTGCCCTACATCCCCCTCATACCTGCTCACCTGGTCTACATGGCCTGACCGGCTCTGGGCTGGCCCCCTGTCCGTCACTGGCCTCTGCAGACCCCACCTTCTCGGGGGCTAGGACTCACTGACACAGTGGCTCTGGAGGGTGGACCCTCTGGCCAGAAGCTGAGTCTTCAAAGATATCAGCCAGGGCCAGCTGGTGAGCAAGATCCAGACTTCGGAGTCCAACACCTTTCCATCATCCACCCAACAAGCGCTTAGTGTGTGACTCCTACACACCAAACTGGTGTTCTGCCTGAGGACGCAGGGACCAATCAGGTGCTGGCCTGCCCTGGGCTCATCCAGCCCAGTCCCCCTAGATGTATGTCCATGGCCTGGGATGGTTCCCAAGAGCTCTAACCTAGCCCCACAATCAGAGCTCAGATGGGCACTGACACCAGGTGACTGTGGTCAGCCAGATTGTGCAGTGGACAAGGCAGAGGGGGGCAGCCAGACAGCCAGGTGGGCCTGGCAGTGATTCCTGAGGGCCACAAGGGACGCCATGCACGAGACATCCCTGGAGTCAAGAAGGCTGCACATCGCCCTCAATGGACAGGTGAGCCAGGAAGCTGCAGCAAAGGGACAGAGACCCCAAGTGTCCCAGCAGCAGGAGCAAAGCCACCAGATTCAGCCCCTGGTGAAGTCACGGGCATGGTGACCCCACCCGTCCTGAGTCCCACATGGGCCAGTGAGGGGGGCATGGGGAGCAAGGTACTTGGGGCTGCACCAGTGCCAAGGAGAGGCCCAGGGATGTTAAGCCTCTGTGTGCCCTCTGTGTGCCCTCTGTGCTGGCCGCTCCTGGGCAGCTGGCTGCTCTGTGGGTGACAAAAGGCAAAGCTGGCACTCCCCAGTTTACAGCCTGATCTGTGCCGAAGGGCTGCCCAGCCTGCCAGGGACTTCCTGTCTTGCCAGCTTGGGGCTCTTCGCTCCCTGCACCCTGTGCCTGTCCTCTGGTGGTCACACCTCTGAATCACCCTCACATCAACCACGCAAGCTGGGTCCTATCTAGAACGCTGCTCCATGTGAGCCCCAGTGGGACCACTTCTCCTGCAGGGACCCCGGGCCTGGAAGGGTGTGCCGAGCAACAGCCCCAGGCAGAGCCCCAGCCTCACGCCCAGTGCCTGGATCCCATGGACCGTGAAGGCCTCTCGGGTGACACCAGCTTCCTGCAGGCCCCTGGCCCTGAACCTCAGTGTAGCAGGTGTATCTGTCTCCCCCAAAATGCTGTGTCCAACCTTGGTACCTGAGACTGTGATTTTATCTGGAGAGAAGATCCTTGCAAGTATAATTAAGTCAAAGGTCTCCGAAGAGACCATCCTGGCTTTAGGGCGGGCTCCAAACCCAGGGACCTCGTGAGAAGAAAAGACAGAGACAGTGGCCAGAGGGAAAGAGCCCCATGCCAAGGAGCAAGGAGGGGCACTGTGGCCACCGGAGGCTGGAGCCCTAGGAAGGGCGTCCTATAGCCTCCAGGGGACCTGCCCTGCAGCAACACCCCAGCTCAGGACGGTGAGGAGCCCCACTATTCAGCATCACTGGGCATTCAAGAGGTGCAGATGAAAACAACGCTGAGATTCCACCTCACTCCAGAAAGAATGGCTGCTATCATGAAATCAACCAATAACAAATGCTGGCGGGGCTGTGGGGAAAGAGGAACCCTGCTCCACTGCTGCTGGGAGGGTAGACTGGTGCAGCCACTGTGGAAATCCATATGGAGACACCTCAGAGAACTAGGACTGGAAGTCCCATTTGACCCAGCTATTCCCCTGCTAGGGATCTTCCCAAAAGAATGAAAAGAATCATACCACAGTGATATATGTGCACCCATGTTCACAGCAGCACAGTTTGTAATAGCTAAAGCTTGGAAACAGCCCAAGTGCCCATCAACTGGAGACTGGATAAAGAAAATGTGTTTTTTTTTTATAAAATGGAGTACTACTCAGCCATAAAAAATGAGAAATTAGAGACATTTATAGCTAAATGGATGCACATTGAGGCAATACTCTTAAGTGAAATAAATAGGATACACATGTGTAAATACCAAATAGTTTTCCTAGTGTGAGAAACTAAAGTGTAAATAAGGACTAAAAGGTATATTAGATAATGTGAAACAGGAAGAAAAGGGGCAAAGGGGAAGGGGAAGGGGAAGGGAAAGAAAGGAATGGAATTAATATGAGAAAATGAAAAAAATGGAAACAAAGTCTTTGTAAATTGGGAGGGATGGAGGGGTTGAAGGGAGGGCAGGAGAAGGGGGAAAAATAAGAACAAAGAGAGGTTATGTAAAGGTGCAAATTTCCAATGAGGAATGTGATTATATTGTATACCTAAACTGTACCAATAAAATTTAAAAAAAAGAAAAAGAAAAGAACAGCCAAGACCGAGTGGGGGCGGGGGGGGGGGCACAGCCTCCTTCATCTGCAGAGGGTGGCTGCGCTCCCAGCCCCACCAGCCAAGGACCGCAGCCCTGGGGACCACATCCCACGGGCTCTGGGTCGAATCAGAGCAGGAGAGGTGAGGCGGAAATGGAGAGAGGAAGAGGCTGGGACCGTCAGGCCCAGCCCGGTCCCCTGCCCTGTGCACCCCTAGCCAAGGACTGGGTGCCAGCGGTGCCCGGGGCGCTCCGCTCCAGACCTGCCTCTTCCTGGGCGGAGGGGAGGGCGCCCCGCAAGCTGCGCTGCCTGGCAGGGCCTGGCCCTTCCCTAGCGTGCGCAGAGCCCGGAGGGCGCTGTCCCCGGTGCTGGCGAGGGCGGACCCTGCAGGCCTCGGCCCGGGAGCAAGGCCGGGCGCGGCGGGCCCCGCTTACCCCTCGTGCCCCTTGCAGAGATAGAAGAGCGTGCGCCAGGCGTGCGCGGCGGCCAGCAGCAGCGACAGCAGGCTGGCGAGCAGGCTGAAGCGGCAGGCGGCCGGCGGGCCCCACTCCTGCACAGTGAAGCGCTCGCGCGCCTGCACCGAGAGGTTGGCGCTCAGCCACAGGCCCTCGGTGAACAGCAGGCAGCGGCCGCGGAAGTCGTGGCCATTCTCGGACAGCGGCACCACCACCACGAAGCTGAACAGGAAGGCCAGGAAGTAGCAGACGCACTGCGCGAAGAGGAAATTGTCGAGCGCCATGGCGGGGCCGGGAGGGGCGCGGCCGGCCGGGCTCCGGCGCCGGGGCCGCCGAGGCTGCGCAGTGGCGGACGCCGGGTCCCGCGCGCCCCACCCGGACGCGTGCGCACGGTGGCAGGCGGACAGCTCCGGGCAGGGCGCGCTCTGGAGGGGTGGGGGCGCGGCCCGGACGCCCTGGACTGGGGAGCGGGGCCGAGCAGCCTGCGCGGGCCGCGCCTCCACAGGGTCTGCTCCCGCCTTCCCAGGACGCCAAGGGAGAGGAGGCGGCGGTGAGTCCGCAGGCCTGCTGCCTGGAGCGACTCGTCCAGGACCCTGGGGCGGGAACAGGGGGACATCCGGGATGGCATGGGACAGAGGTGACCGCCGGAGGGCGCCCGGGGTCGCGGGGGGCGGGGAGGGGGGGCGCTGCGAGCCATCTGTGGTCCTCACCCGGACGCTCGGCCTGACGCAGGGGTCCTGAGCTGATTTTTGTAAGATAAATAACATGCCCAGGGCACCTCATTAAGACGTCTTTGCTGAGATGGAATCTGCTGGTGCATTAATTAATAGAATTAATGCTTTTTCCAGTTTCCCTTAAGACTAAGTCACATTTAGTCCAATTCCCAGAGTCAAGAAGCCCTGGTATTGCTCCTTCTGGAAAATTACATCAGCATTTTTGTTGCAAGCACTAAAACCTCTTTGTTTTATTGCCAAAATAATATGCTCATTTTTTAATTCCAGCTACATAGATATGAATAATATAAAAATATAAATTCTCCTCCCAGTCCTGCTCCTGTCACACTGCCAGGGGTAACTGCTCTAACAATCTGGCACCTACTTTTTCTACATTTTTCACACAAATTCACACAATTTACAAAAATGCTCCACACTGCACGTGTGTTCTGCCAATTGATTCTTTTACTCCACAGCACATCACGGACATTACTCCCTGCCTTGCATGCAGATCTATTCTATTCTTTCTAATAGCTGAGTCCTTGCTGTGCCTAAATATTCCTCTCTGGTGGACACTTATGCCTCCAGGTTTGCTCTTCCAACACTGCTGCATGAGCATCGACTCACACACACAGAGTTGTGAGCTCATGCAGGTTGGACACAAATGTCTAAGAAACTCTTAAAAGAGGGAGTGCTGGGTCTTGGGGTGTGGACATTTAGAATGTTGTCAGAGATCACCACACAGGTCTCTGAAAATATTTGCAAATCACCCTCATATCCATGTCACACACTCCCTCTCCAAAGATGGCTCTTTAAACAATCCTGTCAGTACATGGAAAGACCCCTCACCCACGTGCAGTTTGTTTTCCCTTATCAATCCAGGGCCAGCCCTCTCCTCCTCTGGTTTTCATCATTTGTGTTTGTCTTCTGTAAATTGCAAATTTCGTTTTGCTGTCTCTCAGACACATACATTGAAGACCCATTACAATGTCTGAGACACTGCCCTTTTCCTGGAGAATCCACCCAGGGCTCCTGCTACCACTGAGCTCCCAGTTCCACCAGGGAGGCTTACTCGGAACACTCAGCCACCCAGCTTGGGCAGTGGCGGTAAAGCTTCATTCATCAGTGCTGAGACTGACTGGACGCCTCTGAAGGTGTCACACATTGAGGCTTCAGCCAAAAAAAAGAGGCCTGGAAGGTGCAGGGGAAAACAATTGGGAAGTACAGATTAAGTCAGAAGGATTATAACATATCACCGCTGTGAAAGGCACAGGCTGGCATTGTTACAGATGAGTTCCATTTAACCTTCAGAAATCAAAGAATTCCCCTGTCATTCATATTAGTCAAGATCCTCCTGAGAAACAGAGTTGTCAGTGTGTGTGAGTGTGAGAGTGTGCAGTTGCATATGTGTGTGTCCTATTTCCATAGTGAGAGAGAGGAAGGAAGAAAAAGAGGGTGAATGGGCCGGAAGGAGGAGGAGAGAGAGGGACCTATTTTAAGGAACTGGTTCACTTGATTATGAAGGCTGGCAAGTCCAACTTGGTAAGGCAGCTGGCGGCCTGGAGACGGGGAATTGGTGCTCAGTTGACAGCCAAGGGCCACATACTGCAGACCTCCCTCCCGCCCCAGGAAGGTCAGACCTTCAGCTGATGGAGAGGCCTGCCCCACTATGGGGAGACACCTCCTTGCTGGCTGCCTACTGATTGAAATGCTAATCTCATCCAATGTGGGGGGGGGGGGGAGGACCCACAGAAGCATCCAGAGTAATGCTCAACACATATCCAGGCACCTTGGGCTGGCCAAGTCGACACATAAAATTAACCATCCCACTATTGGAATAATTCCAATCTATATAAAATATGGAAAATTCCAAAATTCTCTTTTAAAAGCCAACATTACACTAATGAAAAAAATCCTCATTAGAACTATGTGGGAAGTGATGTAGCAGGAAATTTCATTTACAAATATTGATGCCAAAAATGTTTCAAATAAAAAAAATGCTAAATTGAATCCAAGCCAATGTACTAAGAAAATAATTGTATTTAGAAAACACAAGTAGAATTCATTCTACAAATACAGGAAAAGCTCAGGTTTAGGAAACTTATCAATAATCTACTACATCAACATGTAAAACAGAAAAACTGACATTTTTGTTCAAAGACACTTAAAAGATATTTTATACCATTTGATAACCCTTTCTGATTTTTTTTTAAATTCTACATAAAATAAGTAGAAAACTACCAAAATATACTATCAAGTAAAACACCAAACTTTGCACCTGTTCAAATGAAGAATAAGACAGGAATGCTCAATGTCAAATATTACTGGCCATTTGCTTGCCAATTCTACCTATTCAACAGAGACAAGACAAGAAAATACAGCAAGCGTATATTGATGGAAACAAAGAGGCAACCCTGGCTGTCCTGGAGGATACTATGACCACATACTAGAATGCTCAAGATACTCTGCAGAAACACGTAAGAATCCGCTGAGGACTGTGGACTCTGGCTGCAGACCAGCATACGGAGTCGTCAGCCATTCTCCTCTGAGGCGAGCTCCCTGGGGAGAATGGGCAGTGGCAGTAGTAGCAGACGCTGTGGGCTGAGGCAGGTTCCTTCTTCCTCCGGGGCCCCGGCCGGACAGAGTCAGAGCCAGGCAGGGGTGCCGGGTGGGACAGGGCCGCCTCTGAGCCATGTGGGTCGAGCTGACAGAGCCCCTCCCTCTGCAGCGGTGCCAGCTGCCACCATCCCCGGGCTCTCTGTTTGGCCAGATGCCCAGCTCTGTCTAACTTTGCTGCACCTTGTGATACCTGAACCTGCCTCGCTGGTGACAATCACATGCTGCCATCCAGTCTGTCTGATTTGGGGAACCCCCCACCACCATCAGGGAGCAGCTCCTGCTTCAGCCTGAGCCTGCCGGGCTCCTCTGCCATGCCGATGCCCTTCTCCAGTGGGCCACGTGGCTTTGGGGAGTGGAGTGTGGCGCTCAGGCACGGTTGTCCCAACATCCTGAGTGCGCCAGTCCGTGAGGCTCCGGTCCCTCTCCCGCCCGCCGCCCTTGCAGTTCCGGGGTTTCCTCGGGGCAGACACCGACTCCCAAGCTCTTCAGACCCAGTTCTGTGCGTCACTCTTGATGCTGAGGAGAATAGCGCAAGCTCCTCCTCGGACAGTTCGGGAGCCTGAAGTCTAAAGTCGAGGTGTCAGGGGAACCGTGCACCCCCACAGGCTCCAGGGATGCGCTGTCCCTCACCTTGCTGGCCTCCTGCCCGTCCTCAAGGCTGGTCACACCAGTCCTTTCCATGAGTGGCTGCATCTCACTGGCCCCTGCAGAGGGACAGGTGGGCCCCTGGGTAGCCCCGGACGCCTTCCTCCCCCAGTCCTTAGCTTCAGCCAGATCAACAGAGTCCCCTTGCCTGGGAAGGAGACACAGCCCTGGCTACACCAGGTGCCAGGACACGGACAACTCTGGGGACATCGCTCTGCCTCTCAGATCCTCCCCGTGGGATCCTAGGTCCTGGGGAGCCTCCTTCTGGGTAAACGACACTTCCCGGCCTCCAGCTGTCCTCCCCCCTCCCTGCCCCGGCACCTCTGACCTAGCCCCACGCCCAAACTGTCTCCCGCTGAAGCAGGAACTCTTTAACATGAAGATAGGAGCAAAAGCGGCTTTTAATGATCCAGATCCCAGAGGCTTTAATGATCCCGATCCCAGAGGCTCAGCGAGTGGCTCCTGTCAGTCCCCAGAGCCCTGAATAGAAGCTTGCGCTTCCTTATCTACCTCTTTACATGTAGGAGGCTTAACTCCATCGGCGTTTCCTGGGAGTACAGCAAGCAGGATTTACACAAGCAGAGCAGTGGAGAGGGGAGCGCAGAGTTCTGGAGGACTTTCTGAGTCCATTATGCTCCTTGGGTGACAGATTACAGAAGCTGTCAAGGCTGCCCAGGTACTTTCTGCAAGAGCACGGTTACCCGGTTAGCCCACAGCTGTCCTGCTCCCTGTGGAGGGTGGGCTCCTCTCTCACCACCAGTGTTGCTGCGCAGGCCCTTTGGAGTCACTTCTTCCCTTACCAGCCGCCCACACTGTGACTCAGTGTCTCACCGGCCAGGTCACTGGTGGAATGGGGGTGCGCCTTCCCCTGTGAACCAGGCCTTGGTATCATCTTCAAGCAGGTCCTAAACCCAGAACTCAGCATGCAGTCTTCTTGGGAGAAGGGTCCTTCCAGAGGTGGTCAGGGTAGCTGGGGTCACCAGGATAGTGGACCAGCAAGAGAGAGCAGGGCAGAGACCAGGCGGGAGACACCTACAAGCCAAGCATGGCTGCCGCGGGTGGGGGCAGATTCCCGCCCAGCCCCGGAGGACCCTGCCTGGACCTTGCACTTCCAGCCCCCTAGCTGATGTCTAGGCCACGCCACAGGGGGGCCTTGTCCCCGTAGCCCCAGGAAACCTAGCCACAAAGGATGAGTCTGGCCGCCCAGCAGGAGCGAGAGTCCTGTGGACTCAGACGGGAGTCAGGACTCTGGGCCCGGCGCCACTGCTGGGCTCCCGGGACGCAGATGTGAGGTGGAGTCCCAGACGAGGAGGCGCTGTGACCCGAAGCTGGGAGAAGTAGTCAAAGCCCAATGCA